AAGCAGATAGTAGTACTAGGCTAGGCCTTTCCCTACAATGGTCAGGTTTAGATATCGACGACATTCCGACGTCGCAAATCCAAAAACAACGTTATCAGTTTTGGTGCAAAAACGGTGGTAAAATGGTCCACTACGCCTACGATTGATCAAGATCCATTTCTAGGCTTCGCCCGCAATTAACATCCAACTTTTCACTGCAGCCAGAAAGAACATACAATGCAAAAGGTAGCCAGTGTAAAAGGGCCGAGAAAAACAGAAAGGAAAGGGCCAACAAACAAAATTGAGAACGGTTAATTGCAAAAAAAGTCCAAATTTTGGCTTATGCGCATGCCCGGAATTGAAGTTTTACTCAATTTTGTACCTAATCCTCGAAAATCTCTCCTTTTAGGGAAAAAAAGCTTTTTTAGCAAAACTTAGGCTTATTTAGCGTCGTGGCGCCAAAAAACCTGACTAAACGGTTAAAAACGGTATTTTTTGGCGAAAGTTTGGTATTCAAAGGGTTAAACGATCTTTACCACGTATACTTGTTCCAAAACGGGCCAGAAAAAGCAGACTAACATATTGAGTCAAGTCGTGAAAATGATATAGCCACTAGAACTTTTTAAATTTATTACATCCTGCGCTGAACTTTTTATCGCTGTTACAGACAAAAATGACAAATTTCTACAAAATATGAGTAGAGACAGAAAAGTAAGCTGTTTTCAGTACAGTAACGTGTGTTTCACTGATCAAATCTACAATATACATGCACAGCGAACAGGAACTCTTTTCAATCACTTGCTCAGGCATTTCAAAAGCAATTTTCTTTCTTGCTTTTCTTCCGTAGAAACTGTTATAACAGTTAACAAGCCTAATTGTACTAGCCTGCCACAAGAGTGTTCAGAACAGCCTCATACGGAGTTACGTGAAGTGAAATGCACATGTCCTACTGTGGAATGTAAGTGGAACGCGTGGAGTGCATGGTCTGCCACTTGCGGTGCTGCTTCAAGAACAAGGACAATTAAAACGATTAAGGTGCGAATAGAGTTATCAGTGTCACTGGGAGAGAAAATCTAAAGAGAGCGCACCTGTTTAGGTCAGGAAGCAGCTCTCGGAAGGGCTTACATGGATGGCTCGATACCTTTTGATAGAACAATAGAACAAACAACCGAAACAATGCACGTAGCCCCTAAACAATAACAGCTGCTTTGATGGGAAAAAGAATTACAAGATTACGAAAACTGCTACACATCCTCCTATTAAGCCACTGCAAACTATAGCTATTTCGAACTATTTTTAGGTTCATGGTCCGTTACTTGTAGTGCTGTCACGCGACTGACTGAAGGAGACAAAATCAATTTATAAAGTTCGAAATGAGTTGTTTGTCTGACTGAGTGACTATAACATCAGAGAAGGCTCCTTTTTGACCTCATGCGATGTTTCTCGAATTGTTTTTAGCTACGTGAGAGCAAACGCTTTTTCTTGGCGATCTCAAGACTGGGTTATAAAGACAGTGACATTTGAACTATCGTTGTTATGCATAAAAATACCTTTAGATTGATCAAAGAAAACCTCACTGCTAGCTTACTAGCCTTGCAAATTCAAAATGATGCCACGAAGCATCCAAACGTCCTACAATTCAATAAAGTCCAGGAGGAAGTAACTAAAAGAGATATCTTTCAAACTTTGACCTCCTTAGACAACGGTACAAAATTTGAAATGTGAAGGCCTGCCTCAGACTTGTCCTCAACCTCCAGAAACAGAACAACAAACAACAGACTGTAAATGTAAAACAGTGAACTGTGAATGGGCTTTGTGGTCCTCCTGGTCGACAACATGTGGAGCAGGAACTCGAACAAGACACATTGAAGGTGAGGCTATAATTTCTCAGTTTACGAACTTTTTAAAAACTGATTTGGTCAAAACAAATGTCACTTGCATTATTGTGGTTAAGCATTGTAATTTTTCGCCGCCCTTTTCCTTCTATTGGTTATAAGATGTGCGAGCCTTTGTCTCTTACAAATAACAGCAAACCTGAATTTACCTGTGAGCTGTCGATGTGTGTATGTTTCCGATTTCTTTTCCCTCATTAACGAAACTGATGAAAAATTTGAATAGATGTTTTAAATTAAGTAGCTGTAGCTGTATTTTTTAGCTGCCCTTCTCTTTCTATTGGCTTAATGTTTTTCGTTTCTCGCCAATTCATAGCTTGAAAAGACGGGCGAACTCCAAGACATCGTCTCTTACAAATAAAAGCAAAACTCATTTTTCCCTTAGCTTCAGCTGTAAAGTTACCTGTAATTTGTCATTGTCTGGGTATTTCTTTTCCATCATTTATTAAACTGATAAAAATTTGAATAGATGTTTTCCGGAGCCTATGTTTTAAAAAAGTAGCCCAAGCTGCAGGAATTCTTCTTCTTTTGTAAATATAGCGCTTCGATTTCTTTAGCCCAACTGGTCGTATCCGAAGAAAAACTGAAAAACATGCACACTAACTCCGTCCGCCAAATGAGAGATTCGCCTTTTGTTAGAGTTTCATCTCCTTCCAACAGGCACTTGTTCTTTATATAAGCGGTAACGTTGTGTCCTTTCCCAAACTTAACAGAAACAGCTGTGGAGGTGTTTAAGCCTGATTGCAGCGGTCTTCCACAAACATGCCCACAACCACCAGAATCCGATCCACGTAATGTTACATGCGATTGTCAAACTGTCAACTGTACAAAGGGCGAATGGGAGGCGTGGTCGGCCACGTGCGGACTGGCAACTCGAAAGAGAACAATAACTACAGAACAGGTTTGGAAAATATCTTATACACCATGTATACTCTTTTTAGTCTCTTTTGTCTATAATGGCGGTCCTTACATAAGTTTGTTGTTTGTTTATTGAATGTTTATAATGGTCGATGCGCTTACCTACAACCAGCTACTTCCCAGGCATGCCAACTTAACTGAAAGAAAGAAATATTTCAAATTAATATAACAGGCTTAAAAAATTTCAATTTGGGGGAGACAGATCAGTTGGCTCTTTACAAGCATGACCGAGGAGTTGAACTAGGGTCTACCGAGAAACAACTTCAGCTTAGTGGTCAGAGCGAGACTTGAACCTGCGACCTCCGGATCTCAAGTCCGACCCAGACCACTTGGCCACGTTTTCCTCTTCATGCAACCCTCCTCTTTCCGGCGTAAGAATGTAGATAAAGTTCTTCTCCTCCGATCTATATTTTCATGCACAGGAAATTTCATTTCTGAAGACTAATTGACCTAGAAAGACAGGAACCAGCCATAAATCAATGTGTTGACGGGGCTATAAAAAAGCTTGGGCATATACTTTGGACCTCTCGGGACCATCGAGGCTTTTAGCAGACGCTAACAAGCGCTTTTTAAAATGAACTTTTTCACCCTGAATGGTTTCTGGTAGTGTTATGAGAATATGCACTTTGGAAGTCGAAAAATTGAACAGCGTATCAGTCAGTCAGTCAGACAGTTAGTCAGTCAGTCAGTCAGTTAGTCAGTCAGGCAGTCAGTCAGTCAGTCAGTCAGTCAGTCAGTCTGGCAGGCAGTCAGTCAGTCAGTCAGTCAGCTAGTCAGTCAGCCAGTCATAAGTTAAAGTAAATCGCTGGATAGGTGTTGTATAATTTAGACGTGAAATTAACTTAGACTGAAAAAAAAAAAAGATAAGGCTCTACACCGCATGACCTAAAATTAATAACCCCAGGGGATGCTTACCAGAAGGGCAGAATTGTTTCACTGAGTGACACACAAACGTTTGTCGTTTCGCACCTTTGACATCACTGCTACATAAATGGTTTGCTTAAACCCTTACATACAGCCGAACAACTTTAAATACACTACCAGTGTTAACATCACTATAAGTATTCTTTTTTTGTATATTTTTCAAATTATTCTCTACAGTAAATTGTCGCCAGGTACATCTACCAACTCTGACACCTAACGATTTATTCCTTCGATATGTTTGTTAGATTGTGGTACAACAGTCAGGCTGTGATGGCCTGCCTCAATCGTGCCCGAGTGGGCCTGAGACAGAGACTCGCAAATCCATGTGCACGTGCCAATCAGTAAACTGCACTTGGGGGGAATGGGGCAAGTGGTCTGGTGAATGTGGCGAAGTGAACAGAACACGAAATATTGTGGAAACCCAGACATCTGTTCAGGCCGAGAGCTGTGATGGAATTCCCACAAAATGCACCCAGCAACCGGAAACCAATAACACTAAACTTCCAGAATGTAAGTGACGTGAAATGCTGGAATTTATTGAAAATAAATTAAGTTATTGACACGTTACGAGACGTTTCGATATCTTTCGATTGGTTTTCCGAACTTCTAAGCCAATCAAATTTCAAACAACAATACATCAATTTATGACGGTTAACTCGGTCTTTGATTGAATAATCAGTGCGGAAAACCAACGTGAAGATGCCTAACAGAATCAATTATTCAACCGCGTGGGACTTTTACGACTTATATCACTCTTCATAACATTAAAATATAATATTAGAAAACAGTCCTAAGAAAATACGCGCGCTGATTGGCTAAAAATCGTGTTTCTATAACTCGATAGAAACACAGAGCTAGCACGAGCTGTTGACGTAATGATGGCGCGAGCAAAGAGAATTTACACTTTGATAATCAAAGTTAACAACCTGTTTTCCTTTTTTTCGTGGCGGTGTTTTCTAAAAGAAATAGAAGACATGTTCTTCGTATTTCTATCGAGGTATAGAAACACTCGTGAAAGTTTGGGAGAACTCGAAAAAGCTGTGGAAACACTCGCCTGCGGCTCGTGTTCCCACAGCATTTCTCGTTCTCCCAAAC